CACTCCAGACAGGCTATTCAGGGTTGATTGTGCCGCCGCAACATCGTCGAAAATCAAGACGCTATTATCTGCGTAATCAATATCAACTAATCTTTCACCAGACAGCAGTTCGACGCCTACATCGTGAGATTCCGCAAGGGAACATTCCATGATAGGATCCACGACGAAATTGAACAAAAATGGGGAAATCGGACAACCCTGACGACCATCACTTGTAGTCGGATAGCTATCCTATAGGCCGCCGTAGACCCTGACGCGGCCTGTAGTGTTCGAGTATAGAGCACGTAGGACGTTCACATATTTCGTGCGAACACCTTTATGCGCAAGTATTGCGAACAGAATCGATCGATCGACAGAAGTGAACGCACTCTTGAAATCGAAGAACACAGCTATTGTCGGTCTGCGGTATGCGTGTCGCTGCTCTAGCACCTGTCACGAAGTGAAGATATGGTCTATAAACAGCCACGTCCTGGGCGGAAATCTGCCTGCTCTTCCCTAATCCGAGATTCGGCTGTCAATCGTTTTGGGCTATGCTTTGCTCCATCAAAATGCAAAGTACTTCTCCAACATTGGCAGGGACCCAACCCTGCGCTAACGCTTGGTGGTGATCTGCTAGAAGTCGTTCAGGAATTTAAGTACCTGGGCAGCTATATTAGCACCCGTGCGATTGAAGATGAGGTACGAACCGTATAGCAAAAGCTCGAGGTGCTTTTGCCAATCTCCGCCACCTGTGGCGCAGACGCGACATTACTCTCGCCCTCAAGGGCAGAGTTTACAACGCAGCCGTCCGTTCAACTCTCCTATACGGCTGTGAAACCTGGCCCATCAGGTCGACAGACATGAAGAGACTCGTCACGTTCGATCATCGCTGCCTTCGCAGCTTAGCTCATGTCTGGTGGGAGCACCGCGTGAGCAATGAGCGTGTTCGGCATCGCGTATTTGGTGCAGGAAGAGCGAGTGAACCGCTCAGCACCATTATATCACGCACCAGGCTCCGATGGTTGGGCCACGTGTTGCGCATGCCAGCACACCGACTCCCACGACGTGCATTGTTTGCGCGTTGTGGGTGCGGTTGGAAGAGGAGGAGGGGAGGCCAAGTGATGACTTAGTCGAGAGAAATGAAAACCCTCACTTCGAAGTTGGCGTCGGTTGGTGCATCCCGACTGCCTGGCTGGGGTCCTAAGGACGGTGAACACGTTTGGTTGGACACACTTGCTGATATGGCTAGGAGCCGGCCCCAATGGCGTTTGTGTTGTGAGTTCCTTTGTCCATCCCCCTCCTGTTTAGCATCCCCCTCCAATCACGATCTCAATTGTTAGGCATAGTATGACTTACTTTTATGGCAGCCAGCTGTTAGCTCTCCGGAACGATGTCCATCCGTTACTGGGGACTCAGCGGGCGTGCCACTGTTTGTTTGTTTTTTTCTTTTCTTGCCTTTTGTATTGCGGCACAATAGCTGAGGTGTTTTCCACCTCCAGCTAACGTGTAATAATGATGATAATGAATCCGAAATTCCCGTTACACAGTGAGGCGACGAATGAGAATTGACGTCAGTACTTCTGTCCCAACTAATGCTAGGCTATTACCGCTATGGTTAGAACTGTCTGTGCGACTGCTCTTCTTGTTTATTGCCACTATAATCGATTCGTTCCAATCAGCCGGAACATTCTCTTCCTTCCAGATACATTCGAATAGGGAGGTCAGTGCTTTGCAGAGGACCTCGCCTCCATCCTTAAGTAGCGCAGATGGGAGGGAATCCGGGACAGCTGCACGAAAACGATTGAGTTCTGTGATCGCGTTTCGGACCTCGGCCTCCGTAGGTTGCGGAATGCCAGCCGGAATGAGGATCTGAGTTGAATGAGGGCCACTGTTTGGACTCTATGAGCATCTGTTTAATCTCTGTCTGAAGTAGATCCATGGAAACAGGAATAAGTTAACGGTTGACAAGATTTGTTAACAAAGGAATTTGACGTGTAGTGAAAATGTGTGAAGGTAAAGGGCTGGAGCAGTCAAAAACGATACAAATCAGTCCATCGTTTCGGGCGTGATACTACCCGTTTGCCCAAACTTAAGTAGGGAATTGTCTAAGGGGACATCATCGTTTGCATTTGGCTAAATAGCCTGCCCGCAAGGCAACGGAGCGAAGTCAAGGAATCGAGCCCGTTGGGGAGCCGGTAACCGATTGTTTCTTTCAAGCGTCTCTTGTTTGGTCGGTTACGAAACAGGGGGCCAAATCCTCCGTGCAATTTCAGCACCAGGCCGCTGTAATGCGATGTTCCATCGGAGTGAAGCAAGGGGCAGTGACTTTATTTAGTGGTGAGTCACATCTACCACATCGTAGTATTATTAAACGGACATTTGTGGCTTCTTATAGTGAGGATACCTGTCAGGCGAGGACCCTTTACATTCTGGAACACTGGCACCGAACCGTAGGTTCGGTGGCTACCACCGAACCGAGATGAAGCATATCATGAATTACTGCAGATCCCCTTTACTACAGTATATTATCATTCTAGTCACTGACGTATTTCCGCACCGCCTGTTTCATCAAACCCTTCTGGGTCGGATTTTGAATCTCTTACAAGGCTGCTGCGACTAACTAACTCACTTTAGCCATCCGAATGGGGTTAGATCTCCGTAGCGACTAGCAGGTCACTTGATGTACACAGATTGAATCCAGTCGGGTGTCACCTTCTGGGTATCAAAAACATCCTGAGACAGCGTCCGACAGGATCATCTATGAGGGAGTCGAGTTCTGCTCCAACACATCCGTTGCACGGGCTTACGAAGACATCATTGGGCGAAGAAGATCGAGTTAACCTGCTCTCACACTCGTAGCCTTAAGGGTTTCAGCATGTCTTGTAATCCGAAGGCGTGGGTTTGAGCCTACGTAGGGGACCGGGCAACCCTCGCAGTATCCCTAACACACGTGCGACAGGTAGTGGTTATGCGGCAGCGAAGCGTCGGTACTGCATACCGGCGTACTGCTGATGCTTTTTTCTCAAACCCGCCAACTTGAAATGTTGCTTTCCGAAGCTACTGCACTTTCTGGAGAGGGTGCTGGTACGGCTTATATTGTCATATGAATTCCGTATGTAGCTATGTTGTAGAAACTTTATACCCAACGGCTTCATCATACCGATTGGCAGTGACTCTGCTATGTGTTTGGTCTATTTATCTTATTCGTTTTGGTTTGATGCACTGAAGCGACACTTCGGACCGGTTGTTGCCAACTGGGGTTTTGTAGGTGGCGGTAACTTAATGACTCCTAATTCCACTTCTTTTGGAAGTGCATGATGCTGCTGCAAAGCTGCTCTGTTACACTTTTGGTTCTCACAATTACTTATGATATGATTCCGTGTCTCGGTGAGTACCTTGGGACTTCTCTAAACTTCAGCTATTCATCGACGCAGCTTTTCTGTCGGTGCAAACAATTCACACGGCCACCACTTATTGAGACATCGAAAGACGATTCGTCTTTGATTTCCGGTGCTTGCGACTCTTTGCTCCTATCTACTAAGAACCGCAGACTTGTATTTCGGCGGTCCACTAGTGTGGGGCTTGGCAATAGTCCGCTTGGCTCCGTGCTGCATGTCTCCCTGCCCGACCTACCTTAAATAGCTGTAGCGTTTGCTTCACAAATTTACTGATCGCGGCCTCAACGTGTGCTGGGTACGGACACTATTCGTGGTTGTGTGCAACATGAAGTTTAGTTGACCTACAAGCATATTAAGTCTTCATCGCGCCACTACTTAGTCCGCTAACTCAGTAAACCTTGATACTGGACGTTGTCGGACGTGATGCCAAGTCACCCTTGGACTTATGTTCCGTCTGCTACTGCACACTTATCTTCGTATCCTCCTGTCGTTCTGTTGTTCCTTCAGTGCCTTTTCTGGTCGTTGTTTCTTTGTCTCGTTGTCTTTAGCTTTTGTTGCCATGACGGTCTAAATCGTATAATCGGTATCCATCTTCCTCCGGGACTGGTTTTTGCTCGATACATTGGCGTAGGCTATGGGCCATTTTTCCTGTTTCGATGACTTAGTCAAGAGTAATGAAGGCCCTTCACTTCGAAATAGGTCTCGATTGGTGCCTCCAGACTGCCAGGCCGGGGTCCCAAAGACGAACACGTTTGATTGAATACATTACTTGACGGAGCAAAGAACCGACCTCAATGTCGTGTGTCTTGTTAGTTACTTTGCCCCTTTCCCTCCTGCTTAGTTTCTTCCTCCAAAAAGATCTCCCACTATATTTTTGTTTTTTTATTTTGTATTCCGTAAAGTTTGATAGCGCACTTTTTCCTGTATCTTATCTTTTTATATTACGACATAATAGCTGGGATGTTTCTCACTTCTAAGTACGTTGTACTTTTAATGATTGTAATGCATGTGATGTCACGTCACTCATAGTTACATTCTTTGGCCCACACCAGTTTCGCGGTTTAGATACTCACGATCTTTTATTTCCTAATAGCGAAGCATGCAGAAGCGCTCTGAAAATCTCGTGAACATTTTCAGCTTTTACCTGTCTCCTTCGTCTCATTCTTGTCACACCTTTACCCCTCATTTGTTCATTTTTTGTTTAGTTTTGGATTTGTTGACCATGCGGTAATACGATCTTAGTTGAGGAGCTACGACTGGGTTCTAGTGAATCTGTGCTTCACATCTCACTACTATCGGCCCGTAGCCTAGTGCTAATGAGTTGGTCTCGTAATCTTGCGGCACGGGTCCGAATCCGCAAAGAGGTGGGCTTCCCCGCGGTATACTCAGCCCGCGTGCGACTAGCGGTAGTCGCACGGAAGCGAAGCGCCGTTACAGCGTACGGCTGACACATTATTATTACTATTACACTTGGGACGACTTTTTGTCCCCGAGTACGATTTGTGCTTGATACGTTTTCCCTTCTCCAATCCACCACCTGTGATCCACTTTCACGTGCACCAATTTCATAATCCATTCTTCTTTTCCCTCATGCTGGATGCTGTTTTCCTTCTTTTCCCCCAGCATTTGTGCATCATCAATCAACACGGACGAGAAAAGTATCGCGTCAACTCTGAACCGTGCGGTCGTGGGCTTTAGCAATGCTCGTTCCCCAATCGCATACCAACACTCCTAGTTTTCTAGGGCTATTTGGACACCTTATTCTCTCGTTGTTTAGAGCCTATCGATTAGTTGTACTCATTTCTATTAGACACGCGGCAATGTTTTCTTAATTGTAAAGCTAAAACACTCAGAGCAGTATTTTTGTGCCTTTTTGGTGATGCCTGCTCCGTTTTATAATGCAATCATCTTGTTTTCCTCCGCTCGTGAATACATACGTTTATTACCTTGCTTCGTTTTTATTGCACATGACCGCGTCCCCATGAATAATGACATTATTTTCGCTGGTTACCAGTATTCTTGATGAGGCCGTATTAAATCTGCCACAAACTTCTTATTGAGCTGGCGCAGATTTAGGTATCTTTGCTAGAGAGAGCTCCGGCCGGATTTTTCCCAGAAAATTGTGTCACATTTGCGTATCTTCGAGACAATGACCTCTGACCTCTCTCACTTCCGTATTCAACTCACAATGGGACCATTTACACTTAAAGTCAACGTTCTCTGATTCAAGCTAGCGAGGGTACACCCAAGTGTCAGCATACTCGGTATGTGGCAGTTTTTTTCAAAATATGTGTGACTATCCACGCTAAATTCCGGCTTCCTATGTTTTGTTTTACCGATAAAGCTTATCGGGCACCGTTATCACTCATAGTCCTTGTACCCTGAGGCATTATTTTATTCTATAACCTTTCATTTCTAGTTCACGCATGGCTACGACCCCCCGTTGACTGAACTCACTTCGTTCATACTTGGAGAGGGTTCCTATATCCTTGTTATTCTCTATCTATACCAGAAGCACTCCACGAATTTCGGTGACTGCTGATTCGAGCTCAGGGCACGAGAAAGGTGTTCCCTATTCGTATCCAGTGATTGTTTTTGGCCACTAAATGTTCACTGAACCGCCCCACTTGCACGAACCAAATTGGGGTTATTTTTCCCTTGCATTTAGTTTCCTAATTTGAGATTACCAGTTTGAGTAAGCGTTTTCTAATGTGTCACTGGACTGTCATCGCTTGCACTCCGAAGGCCATGCTAAGCAGTTTCCGCATTACTGTACTTTCTGTGGGTGGATTGACTGGGCTGTCTGATTACTGTTAGATCCTGAGTCGTCGGGATCCCAGCAGTCGCACTCGATTCCCGTATGGCTCATTCCTGATATTGCGCTCTCATTTCCACTGTTTTCAAGCTCATGCGGTGGGCATTTGGTTGTCCCAGTTCTCTTCTGGTCATTAGTTTTCACCTATTGCAGCTGATTCTGGCGTTTCTCCCCTTCTTCTACCCTTTTGGGTGATTGGCTTATTCATTGTTGCTGTGTTTACTGGTATCGCTTCGTTAAGCACGACGACGACCGCGCGTCTTGACCATCTCCCAATCAAAATATATATCTCCGAGATAAGCATAAAATATGCCTGTTGTTACGAATATTGATTTATACCGCTGTTGTTCAACACTAGAGACTAGGATATCACCATACTAAGTGCTTAACATGCCATATTCTACGGTGCAGTGGACGAGTGTGAATTCAGTTTTTCGATAGCTCCCTCTTAGATTGCCGCTGGTTGCCAAGCTTCACCATATTTTCGCCAATGACGCTTGTTTCCGAATAGGTTTTAATGTCAGGGTTTTCTTTAGTGTTCACAGCCCACCCCTTCAAAGTAAACACCCGCAAATTACTTCGCGAGTCGTTATAGTCCATGCAGTTTTCCAATTCCACGATCGTCTGCAAAGGCCGTGGGGTGTGATCTCATCGGTCAACTACAGCATGTACTAAGCTTCTGCGTAGTCAGTTTTAATCTATGGATCAGACACGGTCGCTAGATGCTTAGGCCTTAAAAGTTTGATCGTCTCTGACCCTGAATGCTTTTGTATCCTTCTTCATGTTAACGGAACCACCAAGTGAACCGTTCTGGTATCTGTTATTATCAGACTAGTGTCACATCTGACCTTTTGAACTTGCGACCGGAATACATTCTTTGCGTGCTCGCCAACTGCATTCTTCGTCATGTATTCATTGCCACTAGTACATCTTATTGAATGAACTCTCAGGATGACCAGTCAATGATAGAACAGATTGGACTAAAAGATACTGGGTATGATACATATCGTCCCCGTGAATTATGTTCTCGGAATCGGCCACACCACTTATTACTAATATCAAATCCGGAGCACTAACGAATTCATTGTGACTTTTGTTTATAGCTGACAATTTTTTCATCCACTTTTCAAATCTACGAAAGAATTTATGTGAACTCTCAGCCGGCGACACTTATGTTGGTACGAATATAGCACCGGGTAACAGCAGTCTTCTACTGCTTTGCGCACATAATTGGGTGTCCCTCTGTCTGGCTCATAGGGAACCACTCACGTTTAGCAGGAAACAGCGCTCAGCTGGGATTCATCAGCTATCATCGGGCGTTTGTTTCACCACTCCAGCTACACCGACCTATCTAATCCATCCGGTACCTAAGTTACATTCATCTAACCAGCGGTTGAAAACTGGCTACTGTGTTGATACTTTTGTTGTTCACCTATTTTGCAAACTGTCGACAAAAGGACAAAAAGGTTGTTGCATATGACTCCGAAGGCGCGAATAGTCAATCTGGTCTTCGATCAAGACGCTGTTTGCGTTACAAACAGGCGTGCTATTTATAGGATACCTCAGATGAAAAATGTGGCAAGGTTTCATGACTCATAAACTTGTATGTTTGTACAATTTCTGTGCAATGCTCAGTAGCCGTTCCATAGTCTCGGGCTGGTAACACGACATATCTGCGTACAAGTTTGCATAGCTGCTGTGTGATCAAGCAGTGACCGTTCCATGCTCTCCAGCTGGCAACACGACTGGTCTGCCGGCCAAACGGTAGTTGAGCTACGTATCATTGACATGTCCAAACGGTTGGCAGCCGCTTTAATGTCTCGCTCACACTACACATGAAGTGCGCTGCCTGTGGCATCTCGGACCAAACTGAGGTAACCAAACATTACTTATTGTGAGTGATGCAGTGTTACCCAACTGCTAATTCATGCTTGCGTGTCTTATGGCTACCATCAATTTACCATAGTACGACCGAGGGCAGAGTAGCTTGGGCATTTGGCTTCAATTTTTACGGGTAACCGGTTCGAACCTTTGTAGATGCATACCATCTAGCAGTATCTTAGCCCGCATGCAACAGCTGGTGGTTGTGTGCAACAAAACGTTACAGGCCCACATCATGACTTATTGGTAATTTGGAACACTAGTATTCGTAGACGCTGCTTTAGTCATTGAAAGGGAATAGCCATACCGTGTTCTGACTAATGAATACCCGATAAATTACGGATCATAAGTCGTGCGGACGTGTGCCTCGGATCCAATGCTTTTCTGCTCACTTGCTAGATAATAGTGCGCTGCTTGAGAAGGCCAACACCGTTTCACCACTGCACGGAGTTTGTGGATGATTGACCACTTATTTCCCCGCTGGGTTCTTGCGGCTTGACCACTGCGTGGAGGATTCTGTTCACGTTGCGTATCATTATGTGGAACTTCACCGACCCAGCATCCAATTGTCTCATTGTATGGCATTTCGTGGTCCTTGTGAGTTGGCAGCATTTTCAGTAATTACAAAAATTTTCGAACTATGTGGATTAACTGCACGGCAAAGGCTCTGTCGAACACATTAGACTCTCTGCTATTTCCCGGCGGCATGTTGCTAGCGCATGTTTCCGCAGTGGTTCCATACTGATTGGCAGCATGACAGTTTTTGGAAAGCCAAGCCTGGGCACTCATTGTGTGTTACGGACTACAGAACACCGTAATAAACTAGCCAGTTAAAACACTGTGTTCTCTTTACCCCACTTAGTCAACGCAGACAGAGGACAAAAGGGTTGGGTTAACATTTCATTTGCTCGTCTCAGTCGCATACGCAATACACTTTGGGAAATAGGGAACATGTGTGTATATAAAATGAAAATACGTTGGTTGCTTAAAATTGCGCAGTGACGATTATGGTAATCTGATTGACTGCCACAATTGCTTTTGATGCCGGTTTACCGCACTTGGTGGCGACTTACTGGTCGCTGGTATTTTCGAGTTGCGGATGATCAATAGCGCTTTGAATGCCTTCGATGGATCCACGTGATGCTCTGTCGTCACGAGGTGTTTTGTAGTAGACAAGGTGGAGTTCCGGTTCTCCATTTGATCCATCTCTCCACGTTGCACCACGGATTGCCTCGATTGTACTTTTGATCCAATTACTCATATCTCAACCGTACGTGGTTCTGCTGGTAGGAACTGTGTGCATAGACTAGATATTACGGAAAGCTTGATTCGTGACGACATCTTGCTAATTGAGACATCGGGTTCAAAAGTCGATGAATTACAGTCTTCATTGGAATGTTACTTGCGAACTGCAGTACTTACTAGGGGTAGACAACGAAACGTTCTTGTCTACAATAGGGAGGAGCCAGTCATACTTGAAGCTAAAACTCGACGGAATCTAGATATGAGGCGAGTACACGATATCCTTCGCATAGCCGGAATACGTCGGTATCAAAAGAGTACATTGTGTTGGCAGCTGGAGAAACAAATATGCTTCGCCAACAAGGTTATACAAGGCCTATCCTGGTTGAGTTTAGGAACGGTGTACACCGGGACCTACTTCTTAACAGGGCTGGGTTGCTTGCGAGTCAGACAAATGGTCGGGAACGCTGACTTCGAAGGCTAAAGCCCCACGGATGAACCGGTTAGAAGATACTATTACCAGATTGGTTAACGCATCTGCTGCTTTGCACGCTGGAATTCATGATTGTGAGCCTCACGTTACGCAGACACCTAAGCAAGTCGCTCACGACTGCTCTCCTGTGGTAAGTGCAGTCAGCTGCTCTGGACAACACTCCTCACGAGACTTCAGTGAAATAAATCGTGGCCTGCGTTTGTTTGTGGAGAAAGTTGTTCTTTGTGGAAATGCGAATTATGCCTCTATGGTGGGAGAGGGTAGTGGGGATGGGGCGATGGGACTTCAAGCGGTGCGTTCAAAAACAATTGAGGTCTTACGCCCGATATCAGTGGCACCAAAGTCCATGGTTGGTATGACTATTTCACAAAATGGTAAAGGAAGTGAAAAACTTGCCATACCTAACGTTGACCGTACAGAAAAGCCGAAGTGCTGTGCTGTTAGGCCGACTCAGTTAGATGGGAGAAAACCCGTCGGGAATTTATCCAGCAAGACAAGACGGGCGAAGCCAACAAACGG